TTTCTGAGCATTTTCCCCATTGAACTCTTTACAGGTACAAAACTAAATGTGCACAAGATTTGTCTTCACCAGTAAATTCAGACAAAGGCATATGGGGAGAAAATGTTCTTTTATTTGAGCTATTTGAAAGTGCTTTTATCTGAATTTAAATTTGTCCAACTTATTCTTACGGTGGATACACAGACACTCTCTTGCTCTACAATATGTGTGACTGTACATTTTCACATGAATTTCTGAGTTATCCAGTAACAATTCAGTTTTACTTCTTATATGTTTAGAGGCTACTTGGTTTATGCAAATCTCTTGGCCTACACAAGAGATTGCCAGTCTAGTATCTGTTGAGGGGATATATGTGGATCTCATTGGTGGCCCAACTTAATTGCTTTCCATAGGTTTAGACTTCAATTTACCACAGAATTATTAGAGGTGGGATAGTAGAGAAAATTGCCCAGTTACAGATGGCCTCCGGGTCATGCATGAACTCCACAAATATTTCTTAATATAAAAATAGTGGACGACTGCAATTCTTTGCTTTCTTTGGAAGCACATCGACTTGCCAAAAAGATGCCCATGATAATTTGATATAAAGAAACATGCTGAATGCCAGGGAACACAATCCTTTTTCTTTTTTTACTTTCCCTGAAACAGTTTTAAAATGTGCCTACCCTTGAATTTTTCTCAACTCCAGCTCGCCATTTAATATTAATTTATTGTTGCGTTTTACGAACTTTTATTTTGTTGCAATTTATTCTATATTTAATGTATTTTTTAAAAATCAAACTGGGATGCATTATATCATAGGCAACGTAAAAATATTTTAAATTGGTATTAATACAATTTTGCAATTGGGAGACTTTTGGATAGTTATTCTCCCATAACAGAATAAACGATTGATATCACTTTTACTGCTCATTCTGATGAGAATGGTGCTGTGTTATCATTCTGCAAAACTCCTCCTTTCATCATTCAAATCTATGGACAATACATCACGCCTCTTCATATTTTGCAGACTGAAAAAAATATTACCAGACTCACCACAAATAAAATAACAAGGTCTAAAGAATCAATCAATCATAATTGAGGTAGAAGGGACCTTCAAGGTCTTCTAGTCCAATCCCTGCTCAAGCAGGAGACCCTACACCATTTCAGACAAGTGACTGCCCAGTCTGTTCTTAGAAACCTCTGGTGATGAAGCACCCACAATTTCTGACACCAAGTGCCTTAATTATTCTCACTGTTAGGAAGTTTCTCCTTAACTCCAGATTGCCTCTCCCCTTGATTAGTTTCCATCCATTGTTTCTTGTCTTGCCTGCTGGGGCTTTGGAAAATAAGATGACCCCACCCCACTCTTTGTAGCAAACTCTCAAATACTGAAATATTCCTATCATGTCCCCCCCCAGTCCTTCTTTTCTCTAGATTAGCCAAACCCAAATCTTGCAATCATTCTTCGTATGTCTTTGTCTTCAGGCCTTTAATCATCTTATTTGCTCTTCTTTACACTTTCTCCAAAGCTTCAAAATATTTCTGTAATGAGGTGACCAAAACTGGATACAGTGTTCCAGGTGTGGCCTTCCTCAGGCTTTATAAAGCAGTACTAATACTTCATGTGATTTTGATTCTATGCTTCTGTTTATACGACAAAGGATGGTATTAGCTTTTTTGGGCTGCTGCTGCTGCACACTGCTGGCTCATATATAAGTGATTGTCCACTAGGAATCCAAGGTCTCTCTTATAGTTACTGTTTTTGAGTCAGGTTTCACCCAGTCCATACTCATACTTTTAATTTTTCCTGCCTACGTGTAAAACTTTGCTTTTCTCCACATTAAATTTCATTTTCCTGGATAGGGCCCATTGTTCAAGTCTATCAAGATCTTTTTTGACCCTGAGCTTGTCTTCTGGAGTGTTAGCTATTCTTGCCAACTTTGTGTCATCTGCAAATTTGATGAATTCCCCTTCTATTACCTCATCAAAGTCATTTATGAATATATTTGTTTTTTATAATAAAGTTTTATTTGGGTTTTCACACATACAAAATACAAGTAAAACATCTTTTTTGAAAATAACATGGTCCCGGGTTGAACTTCTTTATACAGACACAAAACTCAATTTCATGCTCCTTTTTGTATTCTATTCCATATCTTATACTATTTTACATTTTCTATATAGTTTTTCCCCTCTTTTAATTTTCTCAATTTTATTTTGATTATCTCATCTCAATTCAAATCATTATATTTATACTTTTGTCTGTTCTGTTTCAATTTCATATTATCTTTTCTCATTAAACAAATTTTCTCCTGTAGTTACTAATTGGAGCATGACACCTTTATATCTTTTAATTACATCCATTCAACTCTTATTTAAACTTCAATATATACCTTAAGTTTATGACCTTCAATATAATACATAATACATAACTTCCAATCGAATTCTTCTTGGTACATTCTTATAGTACACACTATATTCTTTTTTTAAAAAAGAAAGATTGTAAATATATGTAATTATAAACCCTCATTCCATTCCAGTTCAGTTCTATCTTTAATAATCATTAAAATCTTAACATCTTTAACACTTCTTTTCAATTAAATATCATACTCCCTTAAAAACACATATAATCTCCATAATTAATTTTTCCCTTATTTCTCTTCATGTGTTTTATAAATCATTAAATATACCTTTTGTTACATTTATTTATTGACAAGCATTCCACTGAATTACGATAGCTATTTTATCAGACATTTTAATCATACATTGTTTCATATTTTCTAAAATTATTTCTGCTTCTAATATAACCACACTATCTTATGTATCTTTGCAGAATCCCTTTTTCCATTAAGTTTTCACCCATTATCTCTAAATAGGCCCTGTTTCTCTATATTTTGCTTCTGTCCTGTATATAACTTCTTTTCCTTTCTTTCTTCCCTTTCATCTTCTCCCTCCCCTTTTTACCCCCTTGTCTCTCTAGTTCTAATTCTCTCTTCTGCATTTCCCTCTTCTCTTGCTTTCTGATTTTCTACTTATTTTTCACTCTATTTTTTTTGGAGTTGTTTTTCCCAGTCTTAAACTTTCCATTCTCTTCCCCCCCTGCCCACTTTCCTTTTTTCCCCCCATCTAAGATTACTTGTTCATTAAAGATGACTTCTTCTTTGTCACAATCTTCTTTTTCTGCAGGCATTTCTTGTTGTTTCTCATAATTCCAGATCTCCATTTCTAAAAACTGAAATATGAAGCCAAAAGAACCTCTTCCTTCTTGTGCATCTTCTTTGTACTTTTTAAGTTCCATTTTCAGTTCTTCTAAAAGTGGAGCCATTTTACAGTTTTAAACAACCACCCGATTGATTTTAGTCATTCCAAACAATAACCAAGAATCCAGAAATCATCAAGTAATCCAGATAGTCCCGAGTTATATCTTCTTATTTCTTTTTCGACTTTCATTTCCTGGGGTTTTTGTTGCGATATTTCAGTTAGAATGTATCTTTTGGAAGTCTTGTTGAGATTTTGCTGTAAGTTCTTTTTTAATTCCAGGAAGTCTCCTCCCTTCCAGATCCTACCCTTTTATTCTTTTTCTCTCCTTTCCTGTTTTCAAAAGCCTTTAATCATCCAGAAATCTTTATTATCCCTTTGACTTTTTATTTTCAGCATTAAATGCCTATTGATGTCAAAGTGGATTTTTTTCCAATTTCTTGCTTAAGTCTCTTAGCTGTCAGTATAAGAAAAGGAGAAAACCAAATCTTTTCCCTTTTCTCTCTCCTTCGCAGCTTAAAAGTCTTCTTAGGGAACAATGTTATTGTTTTTTAACAGTTTCAATTCCAGGGTACCTTATTTGTTGCTTTTGCTGTTTGACCCAGTCAACCAAAACTTTCTCTTCTTATCTTCCTCCTGCACATTCTTTTCCGGTCGAGTTCTTCTTTGTGGTGCCCTTTTCTGACCACCGCTGCAACCGCCTTCAGGAAAGGGAGTAATGGCCAGCTGGGGAGGAGAGATGTGGCTCTCCTCAAAACTGCTGGCAGTCTCCCCCCTCTTCACCACCTCTACGGGGTGGCTTAGCCCCAAAACCAGCCAGCTCGGGGCACTCTAGCGGCGAGCACGGATCGAAGCCTCGCAGAGACGAGGTTTCGGTCTGTCACTGAAGAAGCTCAAACCAGAAGTCCATCATTTATGAACATATTGAAGAGTACTGGACCTAAGACAAAACCTCGTGGTACCCTATGGTTTGTTAGCCAGTTACAAATCCATCTGTTGGGTCTATCCCTTATTTTTCTAACTTGCCAAGAAGTAGGTTGTGGTCTACTTTGTCGAAGAGAAATACCTTAAGGAGTGACTGGGTGGAGGAGAACACAGTCAGTGATGTCAGGCATGCATGCATTGTCATACATGCACGATAAGGACTGACTGGGCAGGGAGGGGCGGGGTGGGTGGAGAGGGGTGGAGCCAGCCAGGAGCACAATTTGCCAGTTCTCTGAACTGCACAGAATCATAACAACTGGTTCTATAAGAACCAGTCCAAACTGGAAGAATCCCACCCCTGGAAAAAGCCCAGAGAATGGTTGGTTGATTCAGCTCTGCCTGGTGCACGTACTTTTTTTTCTTTAATATTTATTATAAAATACTTTTGAAAAAGAATGAAAAAAGTAAACAACAATAGGGAGAAGCCACATAACATATAAACATCAGTGCCAATGCTACAGATCACATTAAACATTTAGGATTTTTAATATAAAATATGTATGTATGTAAAATACCTACGTAAACTATAAAACATTCGTTTAAACATACAGTCTTAAACTTATTCACTTGCTGAGTTATATTTCACCATTAGCTTATGGCTTAACATATGTTTCAAATTTGTATTATGAGATTTTCAAGTTCAGTCAATTCTTCAAGTGTTTGTTTTTTGCAGTTCTTTTAAAAATATACTGCAGTCAAGTTGGTTTGCCCATTCCAAAAGAAAGGAATCCAAAATAATTTATTTTCATCTAATTAATAATTAATGTTTCTCTGTCATTTCTCTGTGCTTTCATCTCCATGAAAACAAATGTTTAATAACAGGCAAGAGATGATAAATATGATGTGATTTTTTTTACTATCCCAAACTTTCAGTATTGCTTGCTAATGCTTAACTTCTTAAAAGCTATTTTTGTAAGTCCAAATACATTTATGCAAGCTCTTCTCCTTCCTTGATACAAATAGCATAATTCTAAATTTTAAAGGCAGTTAAATGCCACAACCTTGCTGGCTCTCTACCAGTTAAAACTGACATTAAATCCTTCAAGGAATCCTAGAAACAATTTTTTTTCTCAGAGAAGTTCTCTCTCCTACCTACATTTCACTGAGTAGCATAATAATTTGCCTTAAAATATTTGGAATTCATTTCACTGTGATAGCCATAGCAAGTTTTTGCTTCCACTCACTTCTCATGTAGCTGTGATACTGAAGATTCTGTCATACTGTTAGTTCTTGACTTATAATGGCAGTTGGTCCCAGAAGCATGAATATTTTAGTACAATATACATAAAGTAAGTTATGCACTGTGAGCTGCAAAATAATTCTCACAATGTTTGCCTGAAAAAATATAGGATTGCTGTTTGTTCTGGCTTTTTTTCTCTTTTTTTATTTTTCAATAAAATTTTATTGAAGATTTTTTTTTTTTACAAAATAACAACATTTGAAGAATAAAGAAAAGAAAATGAGAGAAAGAAAAGAGAAAGAAACAGAAGAAAAAAAGAGAAGGTATTAAAAAATAAGTTCTAAACTTCTTTACAGCAGTTATAGATGCATTTGGACTTTATCCTCTGTCCCTAAGGTTACATTATAACTCCCTCCTTTCCATAATCTCTTCTTTCTGATCATCAAATCCATAAATCACAAGCATATTTTCTATATTCAGCAAAAAGTCCATAAAAGATTTGTTCTTCCCTACTGTTCAGCAACAAAATAAAAATAGAAAGAAAAAATAACATATATGATGGATATTTTATCAGACAGTGAAAACATCATATAGAAAAAATAAACATATATAATTCTTTCTATGCTTCTACAGTGAGTTTGCTGGGATCATCTTCATAAACTATATTGTTTTCCAGAGGTGCTCCTCCTTCAATGGGAATCTAAAAGGAATAACATATAGAGATTTATGCAAGTAGGTGATATTTAACTATCTGACTTGATTTTATCCAATTGAATTTAAGGGAAGCTTTTGATCTCTCTCTCTCTCTCTCTCTCTCTCTCTCTCTCTCTCTCTCTCTC